TCAGTATGCATGCTGGTAAGAAGATCTCTCTCTGGTGGCGGTGGTCACCGGAAGCCATTTTCCGGAACAATGGATCTTCGTTACACAGTGTGGCCGAGAGATGAACTGCAGCTAGGTCAAGCATCGTCTTTCACTCCTCCTCCTCCTCCTCCCCGGGTGGTCACGCCATAATAGTTTAAGCCAATTAGCTAGCAGCAGAAGTGAGGACCATAATCACAGATCCGATGCATCATATGGCGTCAGTGATAGCAACAAAGACACACACTGCTCAACCTTGCGGACGCTTGCCCAAAGGAGAGGCTGAAGCAGGCAGAAACGGCGGGTGGCGCGTGGGGCAAATCTAAAAATAGAGTCTCGAGCCGGACACTAACGTGTATATGTGGAAAAATCCGTGTTAAGTGAAAGTTCAGCTCTGGCAAGGCACCGCGTATACGGTAAAATGCGCTAAGTGAAACCGCGTTAGGCGGGGTAATACTGTCTTCAATTTTTTAGCCATTTTAACAATTATTGAACATAATTGAAGGTAAAGTGACTAGTTTAATGCCCGGCATCCAGCCTCTTAACACAGCAAACAGGCGTTAGTCTCTCTCTGTTTTCACTGGAGGTAACATCTTGCTTGAGACTCTCTTCAACTAAATGCTTTTTTTCTGTGTTTCCAAGCAAATTATTGGTAATTTTGAAATATATTTTACATATTGACAATATATAATGCAGTGCAGTGTTGATTTAAAGAAAATAATCTTGAATTACACCAAGAGAGCTAAAATTTTATGGGTGAAATGGCGCCATGGGGTGACTTCTCTTCCACCCCAATGCCTTCTTCTTCCTTCTCCTCCACCCCCATTCTAAATCCCATCATCATCATCATCATCCAGGAGCCTTCTACATACACACCTCAAAGTAAGTGAACTTTTCTACCATTTTTGTTGAACTTCGGAAATTTTCGGTGAGCTGGAACCAATTACCCAAAAACCCATTGAAACAATGGTTTCGTTAACTAATCCTTTTGTTAATCTAAATCCAATCTTCTGGAACGGATTGAGTTCAAGCAACGAGGTCACTGTATATATATATATATATATATATATATATATATATATATATATATATATATATATATATATATATATATATATATATATATATATATATATATATATATATATATATATATATATATATATATATATATATATATATATATATATATATATATATATATATATATATATATATATATATATATATATATATATATATATATATATATATATATATATATATATATATATATATATATATATATATATATATATATATATATATATATATATATATATATATATATATATATATATATATATATATATATATATATATATATATATATATATATATATATATATATATAATTATTTGAGTTTGTGCTTCTTGATTGAATTCCCATTTTCTTTATAGTAACCCATTGCTATGGAGATTGTTTACATGTTGTCATAGCAACCATTCAGTTGAGTAGCTCCTGGCATAGTGAACATATATTTATCTTTAAGCACAACAACATTGTATAAATTTGGGGCATTAACTAATTATTAGAAGGGGGACACTAAAGAAATGACGTTGGAACATAACACTGGTATTAAATTTAGTAGAATTTCTAGGAAAACTGCTCTCAGGTTGGGTGTTATAAGGAAACTGTTACCAGGTTGTCCTCATAAACCTGCCAATGTGGATGAAGATGAATTTACTGAAAATATAAATGATAAACGTGGTCATGATCTTGCACTCAAGAAATTACATGATGATATTGATTTCATAGAAAAAGTGTTATGTGATTTAGCAGATGAACTGGCTGATAAACAAAGCTTCACTTGTTTGGAAAAATTTATTGTGTTTGAAAAAGATGACCACAAGAAAAAAGCAGATTTTATTGCTTTGCTTCAAGGACAGAAATGGAAGGCCAAACATTTTAAAAAAAGCAATAGGCTACACGGACTTCAGAAGGACCTCAGACATGTGAAACAGGACACACACAAAGTAATTCAGGCAAAAGATCAAGAAATTGCTAATCTACTAACTGCCATTAATGATGCAAAAAGATTAAATCCAAAACGAGAAGCTTATGAGAAAAAAGTGGCCAAAGTTCAGATAGAGAATCTTCAGTTTCGAATAGAACAAGAGGAACAGAGTATCTGTAAGGAGATTGCAAAGGTAGGACGTGAAATTCCTCAAGAAATACGTGTGCATGACGCCCTGACAGCCTTCTTGAAGGAGAGCTGTGCTAAACTCGAGACTAGAATACTGGAGTGGAAGGAGAAATTCAATGTAGACACCCAGAGGAAGAAAGAAGAGGTAGCTAAATGGCAAGCAGAGGTTCAGAGTAAGAAGAAAGACTTGAATGAGGTAATACAGAAGTACGACGAGTATTGGGGCGTCGTGAGAGAATACGAGGCCGAGCAAGAGATTGAACGGCTGAGAAAAGAGGAAGAGGAACTGCACTATCGAGCTGCGTCCAAAATACAGGCTTGGTGGAAAGGCTGTATGGTGAGGCGAGGAATGAGCTCAGGAATCAAGAAAAAGAACAAGAAAAATAAACCTTTGAAAAAGTAACTCGTATACAGTAATTCTTATGTATTGTACAGGATCTATGGCCATTGTGCAGGTAGCATACTGTACAGTACATCATTACATAGTGAAAAGATTCATATATTAATGAATGTGTACATGTATCACCAGTACTACAGTATCGTTTTTTCACCAGTCATATGAAATGTATCCCTTCTTTGATTACTGTATTTTTGAGTCTACAGAACTTACGGTGATATTTTTTGCATAAGGAATTCTAGTGAAAGATATTAAGATCAGTTATTTATACTTTGAAGATTGACATTACTAAAGTACAGTATACTGTACTGTACTTCATAATAACGGACCTGTTTACTGATGGTAATATAATGAGCATCAGATGACTTTTTTCACAACATACATGGTGGAAAACTGAGCTGCAGTGATCACAACCATGAAGAAATTAATATTGTACAACACATATTGAGCAACAGACAAGAAACTATTAATGAGATACTGTACTGTATACATGTAGGGGTAAGTGAACTGTTCTGGGTTTATGTAGTATTGTACAAGAACTCAATGTACTGTATTTAAATAATGTACCCTGAATATTTTTAATTATAGGTTACTGTCCAGATATATTTGTAATACTGTACTGTACACTGTACCAATTGATTTAAGTTCATGTGGTTATGCTTGATTAACTCTCTGGGATTACAAATGTGTTTTATATATAAAATTTATAAACTTATTATGGGACATCATATGCTTTTGTGTATAAAGCAGAAAAAACATTTGTAAAATTTGAACTTTCATTCGCATATGATTAAGGTTTATATGGAGTGTGATGCACTCTGCTAGGCCAGGTAGTGTGAGTGTGGATCAGCAGAGTGGCAGGACTGAGAGAATAGAGAAGGTCATCTACAGTGTACAGTATATTGTGTATGGATTGTTTAACATAACCTCAGTTATTGGCACATTAGCACCAGACAACTATTTTCATATGTTACATGTATACAGTATACTATACTGTACTGTATCTTTTTGTTTGTTAAAAGCACTTATACATTTTCATGTAATTAGTATGTTCATTTCTGAGGATAGTTGTGCTGTTGATTGGTGATTGTGTGTGGCATGAAGTGAAAGGGATAAACCAGATGGGCACCTTGAGGCTGAGTTGTGGAATGGGAACACCATTAAATAACACGTCACAGCAATTACAGAGAATGACTGGCGGTGAATGAAGGAAGACTATGTTTGAATTTGATTCCTGCCACCCTGCGCCATAGAGGCAAAAATTTGGGGGAAAAAACACAACCTGTAGCATTCAGGACCTGCACCTCTATTAAGTCTACTATGTCAACAGTAAATCATTTTCTGTGCCTCAAAACAAATATTTTCTGACAAAAGTTACTAAGTGGTTTCTTTGTCTCTTAGCACCATTTTGTTTTCTATTAATTCAACAATAAAAGTACAGTACCCTGTACAATAGTCACTTTGGTGTCTCAGCTCAAATGTATAGTTGTGCACAGTGCTGTGAACAATTTTCTTGTTCAAGATCTTTACAATATAATTACACAAATTTTCTCTTTAGTTCCAGGTGACACCTCCATTGGGAAAGGTGGCCTGCATAGTAAAACCAAGCCTTTATCTTTAGAAAGTGACGAAGAAAACATGAAAAATAATTATCGATGGTAAGTCTTAATACTTACCAGTGCATGTTTAAATATTGTGTGTTCATATTCACAATTTTTTTAACAGGGTTAAGAGTAATCTGATTTTCAACATCCTTGGTAATTTTAATGAACGAAGAAATTCTTTTTGTATGCTTCGTCTGTTAAATTTTAGACATAGTAAATCAATATAGAGGCTAAGGATTTACTTAGCAAATTCCTTATGTAAGTTGAGGATATGTATGAACAAATATACACAGAGTATTATCACTTGTCGTCACAGCCCTTATACTGTATGTTACTCTTCATACCTGTCTTAACTCTCTTGCACTATTTACTCTGTGTCTTTAAGGTATTTCTACTCCTTACTCCACTTCATGCAAAATGTAGAAGAAGCCAACAGATGAAATACAATACGGAGAATCTACAGTACAGTATTTTGCTAATACAATACAATACATTATCTTCTTACTATTGTATTAATTTAAACATACTGATACAGAAGGAAAGTTACTACCATTGCTGTGTATACTGTAAGTGATGCTGTTGTATTATCTAAGTTAGGTTTTGAGTTAGGAACAAGGTGAATGGTTTTCATGAAATGGAATTAAAGGTACAATATTTGTTTTAGAAAATGAGTGATATCAGTATAAAGTGATGTTAGCTTGTAGGCTGAGTATCTGTACAGTATTTCATATGTGGAATTTAGATATTTGGAATTTGTGTTCAAGAAGCTCATCGATGGGAGAGTAGATAACTTAACTGCCCGATAGAGAGTGAGTTGCCCTATGTATACAGACAAAGCAAATACAGTACAGTATACATTCAGCATGTGTATAGACAACTTAGGTTTACAATTTCCCATGAACAGTAATTAGAGAGTGTGGGTATAAAAACAATGATAAACAGTAAGAAAATTCGACCAAGAATAACCAACAGATGATTATTTCCAGTAGTGCTTCCAAAATACCCAGAGGTCAGTAATGTGAAAAGAAAGAGTTTAGAAGTTATATATTCGTGTACAATATCATTCATGGAACATAAAAATATGGGAATTATGAAAAAGATTTTAGGGTAACACAGGAGTTAAAACATATGCGATATATGATAAGTTAGTGAAGATTTACAGAAGTACGGTACAAGAATGGAAGGTAGAGAGGGAAGGGATAGATAGACCATTGAAAGAAAGTGGTTGATGAGTCATAAGGTGCATTGTGAGGGGACTAACCAAAGACTGAATACACTAGAGAAAGAAGTATTGCTGATAAACTTAGTACAGTATATGGGAGACATTCAACATATTGGATATATTGAATTCTATCTGTAATTAAAAATGTAAAGCTACAGTTGAAGTAGCCCTGATAAAGAAAATATAGGGAAAATAACCTGCAACTACATATTTTTCCTAACAGGCATGAGTGCAACAATATAGATTCTCTGTATGGTGGTGTGACGAATAGCAACTCACAAGGACCTCCTCCACCACCAACCATCAAGCAGTCATCTCTAAGAGTTGGAGAAGACTGCATGGTGTACAGGTGTGTTTACTTGTCACCAACAGCACTCCAGCTCTCCTCCTTGAGTGCCAGTTCTTGTATGCTAACCACAAGTCTTATTTCCATGATGAGGACATTGGTTTCATGGTAAACATATTTTCAGGCCATAATCTGTCTTTCACTGTGCAGTAGACTAAGGAAACTGAGCCAGATTTTTTTAATTTTTATCCTGAAATCTATAAGTATCAGTTGCTGAAGAAACCAGACTGGCAGTCACTTATAGCTCATTAATAATTCCATACTACCCAGTAATGCTCTCTCCCTTGTTTCACTCTCCATCTGTACAGTGTTAAAGGAGTAATGATCAGTTATGGTTTCCAAGATTATTTATACTTTCTATAGCCTTCTGACAATTTGATTTCCCATGTGAAATTATAAAAGACAATAAAAAAATATTTTAGAGATAGATTATTAATATGTAAACCAAAAGACTGCATATGTAGATGATTGTCTTGAAAGTTATAAAATAAGATTGTTTGCAGTTTCTCAAAAAATTTACTTTAATAATGACAAGAAATAGCATCAAAGATGGGAGTCAAAATAAAATTATTGATAATTGTGACACACACACACACACTTATAAACAGTATTTTCTTACTGCAGATGTATGGAATGTGGAGAACCGTTGGAAGAATTTTCAAATAATGATTTAGGGTTGTGCATCATAATCCTCTCTACGTTTGTGTATCGTCAACCTGGTCTTGCCGCACCACTGCTCCCCAGAATGCTTAAAACAGTGGCTAGGTATGTTTATTGAGGATGTACTACTACAAGATTATTAAGACAGAGTATGACCAATATTTCTATCACAACTAAATGACTTTTTCTTCTTTACTCTCTTTGTGTTTTAAAACTGATACACAATGACAGATATCCTGTTTTTATTGTCGAGGTCTGATTTCTATATGTTTGGCAGGGACAATCCTCACATATTTTATGTATTACGTTTTGAAATTTGTTTCAACTGTGTGTGTGTTATATTATATATACTGTATATACCTCACTAGGGTCTCTGGAAGTGAGTTGTTCTCCTGGCAGTTTGAGAGTTCCATTCATCTACCCGGTTCAGCAACCAGCATTGGCCGACAGTTTCTTCGCTGTGTCTTACACCAGTTGGCTCCAAACCAAATTTTTAACCAAATATTCTTCACCAACATTGAAGGTATGTACTTTAGTAATAATTTTTCCCCTCTACACAAGGCTATTCTGCCATGAGTAGCGCACAGTTCATTGCCTCAGCACAACACTTCACTCATCCCTGCAGCTTCATGATGAACCACCATCCTCCAGCTCAGTGAAACAAAAAATGCACCACTTTACAACACAGTTCCCACACACTAAGCAACATCTCACCTACACGTCCCAGCATAACTTTCCACAAAGACACACTCAGTAATTTAGCAGCTTCCTACATTCAAAGACTCCAGCCAAACAGAATACTGAACACACCTCCACCAGGTAAACCACACCTCAGAACCTGTTGTCCCCAGAGATCTGAGAGTACCGGTATATCATGCCAGACTATCTTGTGGTCTCCACCGTTTTCTTGACCATTATCAACACAACATCCACACTACAACCACCACCCCACACACTACCACTCATCCACATTACTTACCACAGGTCCAACAAAGACAATCCTTCAACATAATGTCCACAAAAGGTCTCTGGGAGTGACCAGCAATTGTCACCCAGTAGCTACAAGAAGACCCTCAGCTTCACACAAATATGAAACAGCAGCTATAACACCAGCAACCATGAGAAGGTTTTGGAGATAAAAGTTGGATTTTAAATAGTAGTAAATTATACAGTTCCTCCCCGACTTACGACCTACTCGACTTACGACGACCAGCACTTACGACCTGCCTTAGTCGTACCAAAATTCGGTCAAATTACGTATTTTCAAGTCCCTAAGCCAGTACACAGACAAAATTTTTGTTTGTAATTCACTTTAAAATGGCTGGCAAGCTTAAAAGTGAGTGTTTTGTGGTGCTGAGAAGAAAAAGAGACACCCATTTTAGATTTTCTATGTATTATTTAAGCATTTCCGACTTACGACCATTTCGACTTACGACCTGGATGTGGGTCCTTAACCCCGTCGTAAGTCGGGGAGGAGCTGTATATTGAAACAAGTTTATACAAGGGAAAGTTCTTAAAGAAGAGGTACCATACATACTATAATCGTACTAGTTTTAGGGGTACAGTACAGTACAAATATGTTCACATATACAGTACAGTATAGTCTGCATTTACGCAGTCAATTGAACCCGTGGAGGTCCGCGTAAACGAAATAACAGAACATATGGGATTAATTGAAATAGAGACTGGGCCGACTCCCAAACTCCACTTTTTCCGACACAATACGTACCTTGTAGTAAAAATAACATCATAATTTTATGATGGTATTGCTACACACATAATATCTAAATAAAAAACTAAAATCTAAAGGTGTTTAACACTTATATTAGTAGAAAGAGATGGGTCGGCACACGTGGATGGCGGCTGGTTCCGAGGCAGAGGGCAGATTAGTTGCCCTCCGGTGAATCACTTTCACTACTCGCAGAGGTTTGCAGGACCTTCCTGACAAACCCCTCAAAGTCTATATCATCACTGTCACTATCACTGACTTGGGCTGGCTGTGGTTGTGGTGGGATGCGGGCGAAGAAGTCCTTAATACTACGCTGACGACTAGCATTGATGTTGTTGTAATAGATCTGGACATACGGCTCCATAACTTTCGACAGATGGTTAATAGACACTTCATACCGATGATTGACTGGGTCTTTGTCAAGGATGAGCTTAATTTTCTCCCTCAACTCGATGATTTCCTTCACATAATCATGGCTTGGTCCAGGTAATTCAAGGTTTTTCTGGGGTGGTGGGGGTCCAGCGGAAGCCATTGTGAGGGGAATAGCGGGCACAAGAGAGAACTGTATACGCGGACTGAGAACAATGAGACTGGCCCGGCTAGGTCAGCGACTTCTGGTGGCAGGGCACGTCATGTTACATTAGACCAATCACAGCTAGCGGCGGAGGGAATGCGCGGGTGGTAAGGATGCGTGACCCAATCACAGTCCGATACGTCATATGACGTCGGCGATAACGTATGAGCGACCTAATGCGCACCCCTCACCGCGCCGCTTCCCGCGTATTGTCAAGAATGGACCACGTGAGTAAAAAATGGCACGGCGTGTCTGGACCTCTCCAGCCGCTCGCCGCGTAAATGATGAAATTTACCGTGTAATTAAAACATTTCATTCTGGCAAGGCACCGCATAAACAAAAACCGCGTAAATTCAGACTATACTGTACTGTTTGTGTCAAAATTTTGTTTATTTGGAAATTAATTTTTTTTTTTACAGGAATGCTTTGATTTACGTAACATCGATGTACAAAAATTCACTTAAACAAAATAAATTTTGTTCCAGCGCTTCTGTATACAAACAAAAACCCTAATTTAAAAAATAAATAAATAAAATATATGGCATTTTTTCGTAGCATCGGAAGATGCGGAGTTGCTGACACAGGTATCTGAGAGTATTCCGTGCTGAACACACAGTAAGCAGTGTACTGTAGTGCAGGATAGTGTGTGGCAATATTTCTTTACTTACTGTATATATTAATGAAAAATAAAAACTGTTTTAATTGCATCTGTTCACATTACTGGTGGTATGTTGACAAGTTAGACACATCACTGTAGCCACATCTCCCTAGCCCTCTCCTTACTAGTCTGAGCTGTGTTATGGTTTTACTGTTACCCCTGTACATGCATACACAATCTTTCATATAGAATGTGCAAAAATTAAAAATATAATTATAATTAGGTTAAAAACCTAAAGGGAATAAAAATTTCTTCATGTGTGGGAGTCACCACACAGATCAAGGGAGGTGGGAGTGGCATGGGGAGATCTCGGCTGTTCGCTGTCTCCTGTGCTGGTGAAACAATTGCCAGTTGGCACTACAGTATTTTTTCAATTTTATTATTATCTCATTAGTTCTGATTTATTATACAGTATTACCTCCATATTTTCAGAATATCAGCGTGTTCAGCTTTTCAAAACTTTGGCTCAAGCGCTCACAGATTTCAATGAACTAAACCCTTCAGCTCCAATCCAACTACTACTCGAGGTATTTACAAGATGTATTTTTCGTAAACCCGTATAGAATTATAAAATGGAATTTTACATCATTCTCCTAGAGGTATATATTCATATACTGTACAGTACAATATGTATAATAAAAAACATTATTTATAATAATACAGTATTAGCCAGTATGTATCATTAAATGATACATATTGGCTAGTATGTAAAATTCAATATTCTGTTTTTGTCAAACCATAATTGTTTAATGCCTTTTACATCTATGATTTTTGTTCCCCAGAATCAGAACAGCAAGAAAGTTCTACCAACAGAAAATCTGTCCCATTTACTGGGAAATGTTGCATCATACATGGAGTGTGTTGGCCAAGATGGAGGTGGTGGTCTCTCATCCAGTCTTGTCCCTCTTTTTGACACCTTTCTTCGTAAAGTTTTCCTGTGTATTAATGTCATGACAGACCTGAACCCAGTTTTAAGAATTCTCGTTGCCATTCTCAGAATTCCAGGGGTGTCATCTCATAAGGTAAGACATTTGATCGTCAAAGAATCCAATTGGTTTTTCTAAATTAGAAGCTCTAATGCTTTGCAAAAAAAAATGAAAAAAAAAATTCTAAATCTTTCAAAGGCTAATTGATATACGATTATACAGTACATATACTGTAGTGTCCTGTCTGGATATTAAGTTATCCTAAGTGTATTTTGTTGTCCCTTGTTACCAAGAGTAAATAACCATGACCAGTGATACATGGGACTATATGGAGGGGAGGGTGGGTGGCAGTCCTGTTGAAGTCTTTCCAAATAATTACATACTGTTCATGTCTCATTTCCAAGTTTTAAAGGTTAAGGCTCTAAAAAAGGAAGAACAACTAACTAACCAATTTATTGTTTCCAGAGTATCCTTGATCCTGTTTCCAAATTAGTAAGCTACTCCATCCAGAACTCTGTGATGAAGTATGAACACCTGAGTGATTTGTGTCATCTTTGCAACCGCATCTTTTCGAGAGTGAGTAAACCCATTGTGTGTGTTAGTGTACAGTATTTGTACTCACATCTTGAATCACAAATTTCTTGACAGTTTTATTTTTATTGTTAATGTTAGCAAGCTTGGTTTATTTTTGTCCAACTATTTGACTTCTATCAAAATATTTCATAATCATTATTTTAACTAATGAAGCTGCTAAAAAAGTGTATGCATCAACAATTGGCTGACAGTAAGTGAAGAATGCAGTGTGTAATGAAAACTTTTTTAGTTTTCCATGCATAAAGTGCTAAATAACAGTTTGGCTGGCTTCTATAATTTTCAATCTCAATACAGTACAGTACAGTATATGTAATTCACAATGTAAAGCATATTCTGATATCTTTGTTTCTTTGTTTCAGGAGAGGGACAAATTGTTGTTGCCTCGGCTGGTTGTTTATGAGTTGGTTCAAGCACTGAAATTTAAGACCTCCATCCCTGACACCAATTTAGTTCTCCTGGTACAGCTGGTTGTTCAGGTCTGTGAGGCAAACTTTATTTTCATTTATATAATAATTCTGTACTGTATATCTTTTTGGAATAACCAGCAGTGCATAAATGTACATCCTCATTTTGTGTACATGACATTATTAACAGTTTTTCTGTGTGTGTGTGTGTACAGGACAGTGGAGGAACGCTGGGTAGCAATACTGTTGTTGGGGACTTGCCAAGGGACGTTCAAGATATACACAATCTTCCCAACACTTGTGCAGCTGAGTGTATGCGGTCACACCTGCACGATGCACTAGAATTTATTGCTGATGTTCATACACTCACCAAAGTGAAGGTAAAGGAACACAGATTCTAATGTTAACATAATCAAGACACTTCCTTTGTAACATGAATCATATACTGTACTATAATTGTTGCCTTTGTAGTACAGTACTGTACAGTACATTACAGTACATTGTAGTATCTTGCGTTATTTAATGGGAGAATGACAAGCACATAGTCGGTCTGGCTGGACGTTTATACTCTGTTCTTGGTTACAACGTGCCTAACACATTTCGTGTTTACACAAGCCTAAACACTTTCTGACTTTGGTAAGAAGTAATATAATATATATATTCAATAAAGGCAGCATATATAACATACATCATTCTGTGGACATTTAAAATGGTTGGTAATAAATTCAGAATTGCCAGGAAAGCTTTTGGATATATATATATATATATATATATATATATATATATATATATATATATATATATATATATATATATATATATATATATATATATATATATATATAATCAAAAGCATTCTCTCTTTATTATACAGTATATGAATCAGTAATGTGTAGTACTGTATACTGTACTTGTGTGAAGTGTTAGAAATATTTCTTAAAATAAAGGCAACACTAAATCACTTCATATATTAGGTTGCTACTGAAGAAATAAGTTTTATAGTTTTAAATTACAGTACCATTAGATGCAAAGGAACTTTAATTTTTCTTTATAAATTTTTGAGAATATCATCTTTAAAAAAATCTGCTGATACAGTACAGTATTGAAAACTGAAAATGGCCAAAAAATACTATTTACCCCTTTACATGTAAAATTTAAGTACGGGTACACCACTGATTTTCCGGCACCCTTGGTTCCAAAGCCTTGCCGGATTATCCGTTTTGCCAGACCAACTGAGGTCAGGTAATAATAATTCAACAATACACCTCTGACCCACTAATGATACACCTCCTGTGTCTCTAAAGCACCATGGACTGCTAGAAACTTAAATTAAACTATGTGATGTTTATACTCAAATTAATCACTACGTATATTACAAGGATTCCAGCAATGCAATTTATATTCTGCTAAGTCTAGTCAGTTACATTTTATAAGATAAAAACTTTAAGCCTAAAACTACTTTCACCTTGGCTGGAAGGGAAGTTAAGTGCCCTCTCATAATTTTGTCCGGACTAAAGGAGGTGCAGGACCATCAGTTCCCGGATAATCGGCGGTGTACCTGTATTCCTAGCCTCCATCCTTGAAAGTTTTAGAAAAAATAATTGATCAGTCTTTTCAGATAATGGGTCTTCACTCCTGCTAAGTACTCTCACTATACACAACCACTATTGCCTGTTGCTGTTCTTTTAACACCTTTAATGTACAGTGATCCCTCGGTTAACGAGCGCCTCGGTTAACGAATTACCTTCCATAAAATTCTTCACTTCGGTTAACGAGCAAACCCTCAGTTAACGAATTCCTTACGAATTTTTCCCAACATGTTTTCGCCTGCATTTGGCTGCCCACCAGCTGTAGTATTAGTCCGCCAATACAGTAATCGGTTTTAGGGCTTAAATTCCTTACCATTTTAGTAAATATCAAGAAGGTTGTACTTTTCAATAATTTTAAAAGTTTTATATTAATTTTTTTAGTCATTTTAACAATTATTGAACATAATTGAAGTACAGGAAAATAGTTTTTTGCGTGCCAAACAGCCACTCAACATACCAAGCTTGGCATCAGTTTGTTTACCAGTTCAGAGGAAGGAACATCTTGTTTGAGACTCTTTAACATAAATGCTTTTTATCTGTGTTTCCAGTCAAATTATTGGTCATTTTGAAATATATTTTACATATTGATAATATATAGCGCAGTGCAGTGTTGATTTAAAGAAAATAATCTTGAATTACACCAAGTTAACTAAAATTTTATGGGTGAAATGGCGGCATGGGGTGACTTCTCTTCCGCCCCAATGCCTTCTCTTCTCCCTTCTCCTCCACCCCCATTCTAATTCCCATCATCATCGTCATCAACCAGGAGCCTTCTACATGCACGTCTCAAAGTAAGTGTACTTTACTGCATTTGTTTTTAGTTTGTATGTAATTTTCGGTGAGCTGGAACCAATTACCCAAAACCCCATTGAAACAATGGTTTTGGTTAACAAATTTTTCAGTTAACGAGAAACCTTCTGGAACGAATTGTGCCCGTTAACCGAGGGACCACTGTATTTTGTTTCAGTCCAACTGCCGTAGTAGTGTTGGCCTGAATGAGGATACAATGGGTGGACTGGTGAAAGCTGGAATCTCTCAGTACCTAGCATTAGAAATTACTCGGGGAAACAGTAGAGATAACAGAGCCATTACCAAGTATCTCCCATGGCTTAACAACCCTCCAACCACTGTACAACAAGGGTAAGTAATTTTCTTCATTTGTATAAATCTGTAAAGGAAAGATTAAATATTCAGCTTATTTGTTAGTTAGAACTCAGAGAATTTTTAGCTTGAGAATTACAGAACATTCCTTTAGATAGTTAATGTATTAGGTGTTCAGATTGCTTTTTTAAAGAATAGAATTGACCCATTATGTATCTTGGGGTGTTTTCATTATCATGTGTCAGTCCTTAAGGTTTAGCAGGTCTCCCCCTGTGACCTGGAATACAATGCTTTTAATCTCCATTTTTTATGTGTAATGGTTACAGCTTGATTTCTGTTTGGTCAAACATTTTCAGACCCAGAGAATTCATTGACTGTGTGTCTCACATTCGCTTACTGTCATGGCTTCTACTTGGTGCTCTGACTCACACATGTCTTGTTGGAAGCTCAGCATCAATGGTGTGCCAACCCATCCCTCCAGAAGCCTCCTGTCACATTGCAGACCATATTCAGGTTGGAAAAAACAAAAATCTTTCTCAATTTTTCCACTGACCTTTACTGTCTCTTGCTCAAAGTTAGCATGTACCATACAAGTCCCTAGGGATGTCCAAAGGATATTTATATTTCTTTAAGATTTTCTACCACAAAACTTTACAGTGCTTCAACATGCACAGGGCTGTATCATTCCCATCTGCCATACCATTAGTTGACTGTAACACTATTTAGATGTTTTAGAAATTACATATTTATTTAAGTTTATCTTTTGTCATTTCCTAACACATATAATATGTATGTATATGTATATATGTGTGTGTGTGTGTGTGTCATCATTAATGTTTTCCCAGGTGTAAAATGGTCAGAGGTGAGTGGGTGTATCTATTATTTAAAAATTTGTTTTCTTGATAAGAAAATTAAATGTTAACTAGAAAGAATAGGAATTTGGTTCTCTATAAAAAGATTGGAAGGTTGATGTGTTGGAGGTTGATAGATCAGATTGATAAATTTTATATCAAACTGTTGGACCTGAAAAGTACCAGTAAGTGGAGAGAGAACTTTTAAGATACAGATATATTACTTGGTTACTGTATCACCAAGATAAATTGGTTTATCTTTTTTCTCTATTTTAGTACTGTAATACAGTACACAAACTGGTGAGAGCTCCAACTAGTGAACTTTACAGTCAGCTGCAAGTGTCTGAAAAGTTGACCACTATTACCTTGTGGAAATTATTTCGTATAATACCATATAATAAACTTAAATTGTTGATAAAGCCTCGTAACAACTTGCCCTGCAGAACCCTGAAGCACCTACAGATATTCAGGTAGTGGGCTTGTGTGAATTCAATGTAAAATAGGCTTGGTGTCAGGAGTAGATCATGGATTTGTCACAATAATTTGTATAATCCCTGATTCAAATGTATTATTATTATTACATAATTAGTCTGATGAGCGTGTGTGGCCATCAGATGGTTTCACCGGGTTGAGTGGAGTTCACTATTTCTTGTCGAATATCTTTAATTCAGGTAAATTAGTTATATAAATGAACTTATAATGGATTACCATTGTATTATACCAATTAATAATAAGTAACATTGACTTGTTAAAGTAAAGTACTGTACAGTGTAAATGTAATAATTTAAGTGACAACTTGTCACAGTGATGTCATTTTTGGCGGGCTTTTAGGCAGTCACTCGAACCAGGAGGCCACAGCTGCTTACATGGCCAGAGCGAATACAAGTCCCACACGACCACCAAGCTATTGTGTTTTACTTATACGTTCTGGTTATTACCTCAACTTAACAACATTATCAACTGGATGAAATTTTCATAGAACTTCATTAGATTCATAAACCCGTCCTATGATACTCTAGGTATCTGAGAGTACTGTAGGAGAAAGTGATTTCATAGGAGAGGATGGGGGAGGAGATAAGCTTCTATCTTTCCAGTAAACAAATTAATTAATAAGTGTGTGCATAAAAAATTTACCACACCTTTAATTTTATCCATTGCAGGTAATCCTGGCAGGTTTTGCTGAACAGTCAAAAACCTCAGTGCTTCATATGTCATCTCTCTTCCATGCATTTATTTTGTGTCAGGTATGTTAACTTGCATATTCTCAACATTGTCATTTGTCTGGTATGAAAATGAAACTGACTTAGGTACTGGTATTCTTGTAAAGGTATAATTAGGTAGAAATTATATACAATTTATACATTAAACTCTCAAGACTATGTGATTCATGATTTAGTTCTCACTAATTCCTCATGACAGAGTTGTTTAAAGTGGCATGTCAGTCAATTCTTACATGTTACTTGGCTGGTGGACTGTCAGCTGACCCTGATTCTTGCTGACAATTTAATTACAAATACTTGGCAGCTGTGGACAGTGTACTTGGAGCAAGGTGCTGGCAGTCCTGGCAGTGATACGTACAGCAGCACCTCTGCCATCCTTACTGACTTTTGGGCAAAGGTCACACCTGGCATCCTTCAGTTAGTTTCACACTCAAAAGTGGTCAGTATTGAATTTATCCATTTAAAGCATTCCTTTAACTATTTATTAAGAAAATATTATAATGGTATAACAAATAGATTAAAAATTTTATATTAGATGTACGTTTTTATATACAGTAGTACCCCGATTTACGCGGTCAATTGAACCCATGGAGTACCACGGAAAGTGAAAACCGCGTAAAGTGAACAACAGAACATATGGGATAAATTCCAATAGAGACTGGCCCGACCCCCAAACTCCACTTTTTCAGACACAATACCTACGTTGTAGTAAAAATTACATCTTAATTTTATGATGGTATGCACACACAATAAATAATTAAGAGAAATATCAATAATATTAGTTTTTTTAACACTTACATTAGTAGAAAAGATGGCTGGGCACACAGGGATGGGGGGGTTGGTTCCGAGGCAGAGGGCAGATTATTGGCCCTCACCTGTATCACTTGTATCAATTGTATCACTATCCACCACATAGGCTTGCAGGGCCTCTTTGTCAAACCCCTCAAAGTCCATATAAGTCCATATCCTCACTATCACTATCATTGACTTGTGTGCCTCCTGCCCGCGCCGCTTCCCGCGTATATGAGTAGATGCACCGCGGAAAGTGAAAGTTCGGTTCTGGCGAGGCACCGCGTAAATGAGAAATCGCGGAAAGTGAAACCACGTAAAGCGGGGTAATACTGTACATTAGTACTGTAATATCTCCGTTAGCCGGAATCCCTCAAACCCGGAAATATCCGATAGCCGGAATTGAAATTTGCCCGGAAAATCATTCCCAAAGTCGGAATTTTCCAAAAATTTCCAGCTTTAGGAACAAATTTTCTAAGGTTGAAAATCGAGACAATTTTCTGAATATGTCTTGAATAAAGATGAAAGTTAAAGTAATTTTTTTTTTGGGGGCTGACCTGTCAGGTGGAGGTAGGGTGGGGGATTAGTGTCTCATATTACTGACCTGATGGAATGTCAGGTCACCTTTCTTGGGTGGGGGATTGGTGGGTCTCATGACCTGAAGATGTCTTGAATAAACATGAAACCTTAAGTATTTTTAGGGAGATTGTGGTAAGTATAAGTATAAACGAGCAGAGTTGTATCCCTTCAACATTACATAACATAACATTTTAAATAGTAAAGAAATGGGGTTTCTAACTTAATTAGAACTGCATTTACGGACTCCGGTACTTTAGACTCAAGGGAAACATACCCAGCACCCAGAAACATTCTGTGGAAGTGGGCTACTGTCTGTGTGTGTAAGATGTCTAGTTTAGACACTCGGAAACTTTTCCCTGTAGTAACGGAAAATATTCCGGGGATAAGGAATTTTTCCGGGATTGAGAAAGTTGTCTAGTTGGACGGAAATCTCTCATCCCCAGAAGTGCTCTGCACCAATAGGTTCCGGTTAACGGGAATATCACTGTATTTCTGAAAAGCAATAACCTACCCCTTTGAGCAACTCCCATGATTTTAGAGTCATTCACCAAAAATTTGATTTTCCTTCCAAGAATTGAAAGTGCTATTTAAAAAAATATATATATATTTCCTAACTGATTGTGATGACAATGATTTTATATATACCCTTGAAATTGCCTGAATATTCATAAATACTGTAAACTTAAAAAAAAAAGTTTTACTAAAAACCTCAATTTTTGGTTTGCCTTTTCAAAGATAAACTGGTCAAAATGATACCAAAAGCATGCCAAATTACAAATATATTTCATGTAAGTGTAATACAGTACAGAATTACAACTGGTTATCTATGACATGCAGTTGATACATTATGCAGTGCAGGTATCCCTCATTTAACAACGGGGTTGCGTTCCAGAAAACCTAATGTTAAGCAAAATTATCGCTAAATGAGAGATAATATCAAAGCACAGAGGGTGAACAACAGGTTCAAATGGCAGGGCAGTAAACAGCGAGTACTGTACGGTACTGCTTAATAATAGTAATAAACAAGTTTGTTATTAATGGTTTCAAAGTTAAACAATTGATTTATTAATTCCAAGCTTCTACATAATTGATGTGGTTTGGGATTAAATGATATAGTGAGCAAAAGGTGAGCCTAATTCAAAGGTCAAATTGTGTTTGTCAAAGATTAATAAAAAATGTTATGAAATCTGATACATAGCATATCATAAAAATAAACATGCTCACCCAAATATGCTCAAATAATAACTAAAACATTAATAATGCTGAGATTCCATTTTAAATAACTGCACAGTACATAACTGTGCTGTCAACCATTACAGTTAATGCTCCTGTGTACTGTACTAGTAGGCCTACTGAACCTTGGCAGAGACAACATGTTGCTGCTGATATTTATACACTGTTAACCTATTGTTTGTTATAACAGATATGACTATCATATATTCATTCATGAATCATCTCAACCTATTTCCAGTGCACAGATTAGCTGAAATGCGAGCAGTAGTGGTAATGAGCTGTCAGCACACGCTCATTCCTCCTAAATTATAATGAAATAATTAATTTCTTTATACTGTACTGTAGTATATCATTGTATTCTCCATCTACTCACGGTTCAGTAGTATTGTTTTCATGGCATATAAACTGTGGAAAAGTCCGATACTGTCGGCAGGAATCGCTGGCGTAAGCCAGAGTGATGTCGGAGAATATTCTATTCTCCGAGCTCTCACCTTCCACCAGCAAATCTCACGAAGCTGAGCATGCAGTTCAAAACTCTTAGATGATAGATGAATTAAGTCTTGGCGGTGAAAAGTTTTTCTATGGGCATGGACAAAAGTCGATTTAAGTTCCACTAGCAAAAACCATTAATGTGATTTTTTTTTTAAGTGCTCATAGGGTTAAAGTGAGGACCAATACAGGAACAGTAATTTTTAATTAATAACTTTTTTAGTTACTAGTACTAAGAATAATCATTGGTTATGATGATGAATCAAAGTAAAATGGAGAACATATATACAAAAGCTCCACTACATAACCATATAAAACTAAAAACTATCAAGAATAAAATTACTGCATCTAATGGAATAATTTACAATAAAATCTCTCCTGATAAAGTCACTCTAGTTATCCCTTTCTTGATGACGTTGTGAGGATATAGAAATGGGTTCTGACAGACTTTTCAATATGTCCATACATCTGAGTTACATTTTAAGGACACAACTGAAAAACCATATCAATTATATTAAGTAAAGCTTGTGTATAAATGACAATTCACTCTTGGTACAGTATTTAGTTTTAGTGTAAAGCTTTAGTCTGAAAGGAACCATTTGAAAAACACTCAAAGGTCCATAATAAACAGTCTGTTGATAGTGACTTCTGGCCACATGGTTGTGTCTTTACAACTTATTCAAATGCAGTTATATAAAATGGAACGCCCACCTCTTACCTTTTCTGCCATATCAAACGACAGATTTTTATTTTATTTTACATAGCTACTGATTTTATCTGCAATAGTATGACATTTCTCCTTTACTAAATGTGATAAACTTCCAGGAGAGAAACACTTAACCTGTGCACAGGAATGTAAAAAAAAAAGTAATACTGTATCCATAATATAAAGTACTGTACAGCATATGCCCCATCTAGACCAACTAACACAGTGTATATATGGATAATGCTGGAATCTTTACTGCATATGGTAATTTCCTGACACTAAAATTTGGTTTCAAATATTAAAAAAAAAAAAAACCTTGTGGGGTTCATGCTGCTGCTACTGACATTATGCTGAAAATACTATTTAGTTTCCTTTCCATCAATTTTATTTACATCTGACCCTTTAAATATTAACCGTAATCATGAAACTTTCATAATACAGTACAGGTACTGTACTGTATTTCTACATGTTATTCACTTATACAATTTGTGTTACCTTTAGCTTACTTCATTCATAATGTATAATACAGTACCACAACTGTGGCTCTAAAAATAGAAATAGTCAAATAGAGCATGGTAGTACAGTATACTGTACAGGAAATATGAGTCCAATATATTAGCTAATTTTGTCCTTCCTTTTTTGATAAAGATTTGCACCATTTATGTGGTACTGGACATTGTATATCAAGCTGTATAATACTGTATTTGAATTTGTAGAGAGGTGGCATGGACCCCTGGCATGTTTTAAATATGTAAAAACCGATATGGACTTTCACTCATATTAAAGGATTGCAAATTAAGTAAAAATTGAAGTACAGTACAAAAATGAACTTGTACTAAGCAATTCAGTAACTGTACTGCCTTTGAAATATTAATGCATCTGATATAAGTTAGTAATAATCAGTTGATACAGATAATATAAGGTCCTTTTTTACTGTTTGGTTAACTAAATATACCTCAATAATAAAAGCAAGATGAGTTGGTAGGAGAAAGTGGTTGTACTATATAGTTTATTCCCTTCCCCTGCTGTATGACTCCAGGAAACTGAAACAGCCCAGGTATTTTTTCCGACCTATAGTGAGAATTATTAAAATGTGGAGAGTTAGTAGACAGCTCACTAGTGGAGTGTGGATATCTTGTGGAGACAACATATTGTGTAAAGTTAACTGGAGGAGTCACTTTACAAAGACAATGAATTTTATGAATACAAATCAAGTTAAAAATTTCTTTGAGATGTTATACACACCTTGTAAGTGTCTTGTCAAGATGTATAGTGGAAACAGTACCTTGATAATGAGAACTGATTATTATCTCATCTATTTTATCATAACTATAAGAGCTCATTAAACTTTTCTGGAGGAGGAAAAACTTTCTCTGATATTGTAATACTGACCTACTAAGAACCATTTCAGATTTAGTTTCAGCTTGTGGAAAATACAAAGAGCATTAAGTAAAGCATGTCCATTTATAAACAAGATACAGTATTGCCTTCTACACAGTCAGATAATACTGTACTACATCAGAACTTTATATCATTAAGACAACCATTACCCACTAGTGAGGCTTAGTGACAATACTGGTCATGGAATTTCTGAGTAGAAATATATACATACAGTATATATATCCAGTAAAGAAAATTGATACCAGATTAAGTGCATGGTTCCATTATAATATTTTAGCAACCAGTTATTTACCTGGAATTATTTGCATACTGTATATTTTATCTTAAAAGACCTTTAACCATATATTTCATGTTTAAGGTATTCATAGAGTATTTGAGTACTATATAATAATATTATTGGTAAAAAGTCCAAGGGTATTGATGACACACATGTAGTTAAGGTGCGTAGATAAAGGACACAAACCCCGATGCATGCTGACCCCTGCCCGAGGCACTCTGTGTAGGAACCTCACCGTTCAATCACCCTGGGAAATTACACATATATACTGTACTTTACTTTAACTGGCACATGCATCTCACCCTCAGTGTTACCACCAATGAGTAAATCCCTCTAAGTCCTAAAGCATGTCATAGTAGATAAATGATATGATTTGTTCTAGTTATCCACTGGGAACAATATTTTGAGTTGAATTTTTTCTCTCCGCTTTGTTTGTATTGAGAGGGAGTCATTGCAATATATCTCTTCCGATTATTTAAGTATAGTTCAGAAACTCTTAAGACAACATAAATAAAACAATTAATGACTATAATAAGGGAAAAAGAAAATGCACTTTGCACAAATGTAATGTGAGAAAGGCATCATTTGTAAATAATTTTTCATTAATACAATATTAATTATTTATCAGCTTAATGATATACAGGTACTATAAGACAGGTATACTGTACCTTAACCAGCTAATTTTATTCAGAATTTGTCAATTCTCGGACAGTATTTATGCACATTCTATATTTATGCAGCACTGACTCATCTTTTCCACCTCCATCCAGCTAAGTGAAATGGTAAATCTTCACTTCCTGAGCCTTATGGAGGCACTTCATGAGTGCCGCTCTACCGTCCTTACCAAGTTATTACCTCTGTGGGCCCCAGTTTTGTACACTCATCATAATAAGGTTTGTCTTTTTAGTAATATCATTTACTTCAATAGTTTATTTTGTATCCCATGTCTCCCATTACTCCAGATTAAAAGGTAATACTGTAACATAATTTTAAGAATGGCATTGCCCAAAACTCTTTGAGAAGACTGCATCCTTATGTTCATTCTGCTTCTTGATATAGTAAGCTGGAAGTTATGGCCTCTTTTATGTATAGATTAGATTGCTTGAAGAAATAATGAGGGTTTACTGTATATTTTCCATCTTGGTGTAAAAAAATCTCACCCATCCAATTGTGATTGGGAGTTGGCAATTGAGTTGTTGAGAATGAAGGTGTAATTTCCTCTGCAAAATTTGAAAGAATTTAAATTTAATTTATTTTGCAGTGGGTGATTTTTTTTTTAAGGTAACTGATGGGTGATTACAGTATTAGTATTAAAACATACTTGAGTTAAAGCATTCATGAGATGAATGTATTGTGGTATTTCCAGTTACCAGGACAATTAGCAGTGAGACTTCAGGCATGTCAGAATGCAGCTCCTCCCACACACCCCGAAGCCCCAAGCCACAGCACTCCCACCCTACCAAACCTCCTTCGCTGGCTTCATCGTCTGCAGTTCAAGATGGGACAGATTGAACTTCAATCATCAGCTGCCACACAGTTTTACTCTGTGTAGCAACTCAAATTAAAAGATGAAATAGCCTGTTTAAGCAATTACTTTTAACTAACCCTCATTACCCTACAGCTAATTGTAGCACTTTTGAAAATTAACATGTACAAGTACTATATTGTTTATAGAAGTACAGTACGTACATTATATATTTATTAAATATTTAATTCAATAGCTAATGTGTTTATATTTTAGTGTAAATTATATTAATGAAGGATTATATATATACACAGTAGTACCCCGATTTACGCGGTCAATTGAACCCACAGGGTACCGCGGAAAGTGAAATCCGCGTAAATGGAACAACAGAACATATGGGATTAATTCCAATAGAGACTGGCCCAACCCCCAAACTCCACTTTTAGACGACACACAACTATGTTGTAGTAAAAATTTTATCTTAACTTTATGATGGTATGCACAAACAAGTAATATAGAAGAGGTTAGGTTAGGAAGAATAAAGGTTAAGTTAGGAAAACTAAAGGTTAGTTTAGGAAAACTAAAAGTTAGGGGTAACACTTACGTTAGTAGAAGAGATAGGTCGGCATACGGGGATGGAGGCTGGTTCCGAGGCAGAGGGCAGATTACTGGCCCTTAGGTGAATCACCATTACTAGGTGCATCACTATCAGTTACAGTTGTCAGGGCTTCCCTGACAAATCCCTCAAAGTCACCTTCACTGTCACTATCACTGGCTCTGGCTGGCTGTGGTGGGTTGCGGCAGAGGGGGTTAGGGATGCATGGCCAATCACAGTCCGATACGTCATATGACGTCAGTGATAACGCAACAGAGACATGCACTGCGCAACCTTACCGCGCGGCTTGCCCAGGCGGGAGGAGGGAGCAGGCGGGTGGGGCGAATCTAAATATAGCGTCGAGCCGGACACTCTGCACGTATATGGGTAGATGAACCGTGGAAAGTGAAAGTTCGGTTCTGGCGAGGCACCGCGTAATGAGAAATCGCGTAAAGTGAAACCGCGTAAAGCGGGGTAATACTGTATATATATACAGTGTATATATATATATATATATATATATATATATATATATATATATATATATATATATATATATATATATATATATATATATATATATATATATATATATATATATATATATATATATATATTTCTTTGGAACAGATTAAAAATATATATAGCATATACTGTAACTAAAATATTTGGAAGTAATAGTTGTAATAATAATTATGTAATGCACGTCATTGGTTTAATAAAAATAATGTACTAGTCAATAAAGTATAGATTATTAAGGTTCTTTACTTAGCATAAAATGTGTACTGATAATGTTAATGTTATAGTGATCTATGGTAACTGCAAATGGCATCAGCTTTAATCAGGAGTGTATAAAGTACTAAACTCAATTCTGCAATACAAACTAGAAATAATTTTCATAAATGATTTATGATAAAATGCTAATTTAAATAGCTGGTGTCATAAACATAATACAGGTTGAACGCCATTCTCTTTTGTCGGGTCACCAGTGTGGCTTTCGCCAGGCGAGATCTACTGGTGATCTGCTCTCCTACTGCACCCATCTTTGGTCATCCTCTCTTTGGGATTATGGGGAAACTTTCGTCGTAGCCCTTGACATCTCCAAACCATTTGACAGAGTGTGGCACAAGTCTTTGCTTTCTCAACTTCCCTCTTATGGTTTATCTCCCCCCAACTTTGTTCTCTAATCTCTAGCTTCCTTGAAAACTGTTCCATGGCAGTTGTCATCTCGCTCTTTTTCTATCAATAGTGGTGTCCCACAGGGTTCTGTTCCTTCACCTACACTCTTCCTTCTTTTTATCAATGATTTACTTTACACTATGACTAATTCTATCCATTCTTACGCTAATGATTCTACTCTTCACTCTTCTTCACAGCACTGACCCACATTGTGTTCACAGAAGAGGTTAAAAGAAATAGACTGTCAAACTAAAGGTTCATAAGAGTCCCGGACCAGAAATGGTGCATCCCAGAGTGCTAAGGGAGTTGTGCACGGAGCTAACTAAGCCCATGAAGATCTTGTTCTGTAAATGCCTGGATAAGCAAAAGGTCCCCAGTGATTGGAAAATGGCTTATGCGAGTCCTATTTTCAAGAAGGATGATCATCACTCCACGAATAACTATAGAGCAGTGAGCTTAACAAGCATAATATGTAAAGTACTTGAGAGCATTACAAGAGATGCCATGATGGAACATCTGTTACGAAACAACCTTGTAAATGATTGCCAACACGGTTTTATGCTGGGGCACTCCTGCTTGACACAATTTCTCAAGGTACTGGATATTTGGACCCAAATTCTGGAACAGGGTGGTAATATCGAAAATATTTACTTAGATTTTGCCAAGGCTTTCGACAGTATACCCCAAGAAAGGCTAAAAATTAAACTGGAAGGGTACGGGATTTAGGGAAATGTCCTAGCGCGGACAGAAGACTTTCTAGATAACTGCAAGCAGTGTGTGGTGGTAAATGGCATGAAATCATCATCTTTACCCATCACACGCAGGGTACCACAGGGTAGTGTATTGGACCCGCTGCTGTTTATTTGCTTCATAAATGACATGCCTGAGGCTGTGCCCTCCTCCTTACAGATGTTTGCGGATGACGCCAAGTTATTTCAGGAAATCAAGAACCAAGCGGACTGTGAAGAGCTACAGAAGTAGCTCTGCGAGCTACTTCTGTAGTGGCTGCTAAGATTCAATGTCACGAAGTGTAAGAGGATGCACCTGGGACGTAAGGAGGCGTATCATATGTCCCAATGGGACGAAGAGACTGCATTAAATGAGACAGAATGTGAAAAGGACCTAGGTGTGTACGTTGACAATGAAATTAAGTTCTCGGGCCATTGTGAGAAAAAGGTAGATCAGGCGACTAAATTATTAGGTCTTCCAAGAAGGTCGTTCAGATATCTAGACGGTCCGTCCCTCGTAACGATCTTCAAGAGTTAAGTGCTTCCTCGCCTGGACTACTGTCAGCCTGTCTGGTCCCCGAGATATGCCAGGGACTGTCAGTTGATTGAAAATGTCCAGAGGGCCACCAGATTGGTGTCTGCACTGCGGCACCTCAGCTACCCTGAGAGATTGGAGCGCCTGAACTTGCCTAGCTTATACTACAGACGGGCAAGGGGAGATCTAATATACACTGCCGAGTGGAGATTTAAGGACAGAAAAAGAGGACATGAACAGGAAAAACAAGACGTATGGGGACCCAAGCACAACCATAATTCAAGGACATGACTGCAGGTCACCTTCCCCTCCCTATTATGTGTTGACTCTGTGTGGGTTACGAGGCAGGACAGGTTGACCTCACTTAACATGGGTCAAGGCTAATCGACCTACTTACTCTTAGTTGAAATTCAACAACCATCTTCATTCTCACTAAAATCAGAAACCTTTAAGAACCATCTTGACCCCACAACAATAATGTCTTACAAGGTCTTAACCTCCTGGTAGACCCAGTTCAGCAGATGACCTAAACTTAATACCAAAGTGTGGGATCCATTCCTCCCTTCAATCAATCAGTATACCATCATCATATATCAATCGTCGGCAACCAGTCCTCCATTCTAAACGTTCTCGGGATAAAACCAGCAAATCACATTTACATATTGTAATAGTGTATGACTGTTGGAATTGAACAAAATAAATCTAATTGGAGTATAGTTCTTAATCAAGTCTGGGTGTTATAGGCTCGTTTAAACAGTGTTTTATACTTTATACGGTACTAACTCACTCGATCTTGCCTACCTAACATGTCTAATTAATTCCATCAATATCGCTCACCTTACCACAACTGATTATGGTTGAAATAATATATGACCCAAGTAGTGCAATTTGAAGTTTTTCTGAGCATAATCACAGAAAAAGACATTCTTAGTATAGCTACACAAAATAATGGAATCTTGGACATACAGCACAGTACGTACAAATCAGTCTCCTGTGTTGTAATTATTTCAAGAATGAAACTTCTATTTTGAATATAAACTTTATTGAAACAGATACAATTATCTTTCTAATTACAGCGATTACATTAACCAAATCATCCCAGATAATAATTCCTTGACTATCACACACACACACACACACACACTACATCCTTGACCACAGAAGGGTCAAGACGTACCTGGCGCTCCTCTCGGAGCAGCCAGGTCAACTGTTAAGTTGGCCCATACCAACTCCCTCCCCTGAACCCTCCTCCCCACCGGAATATCAACAAGTTCTCGCCAGAAGTTACTATCTCATTTAGGAAAGGAATGGAACCAGTGTTAAACAGAGGTGAACAGTGGTGAACAGTGCCTAAGTCAGTGAGAACAACTCAACAGTAACAGTCGCACCCAAGTTAACCTTCACACAGTGAGGTCCCAGGTACCCAGTGATAACGGCCGTGAGACCCAACAACCAGCGATGTGTTAATCCGTCTACGATAGGAAGGCCTGGGTCCACACCTCACTCATATAACACCATCTGTGAGGGAATTACTACACCACGTGAGGCCCCGCATAACACCATCTGTGAGGGAATTACTACACCACGTGAGGCCCCTCATAACACCATCTGTGAGGGAACTACTACACCACGTCAGGTCTCTCATAACACCATATGTGAAGGAGTTACTACACCACGTGAGGCCCCTCATAACACCATCTGTGAGGGAATTACTACACCACGTCAGGTCCCTCATAACACCATATGTGAAGGAGTTACTACACCACGTGAGGCCCCTCATAACACCATCTGTGAAGGAATTACTACACCACGTCAGGTCCCTCATAACACTATCTGTGAGGGAATTACTACACCACGTGAGGCCCCGCATAACACCATCTGTGAAGGAATTACTACACCACGTGAGGCCCCTCATAACGTTAACCATCTGTGAGGGAATTACTACACCACGTGAGGTCCCTCCTAACACCATCTGAGAGGGAGTTACTACACTACGAGTTTGCTGTTCAACACCTTCATTAATCTGTATGTTCACTGTATGTTCCTTTACCTTTCTCTAATGAAGGCTTTTGTTAAACCACCAA